AAAAAAAAAAAAAACCAACTAACACAAGCTAATGTAGAGAAGAAAACAAAAGGGCATAACAAATCAGCAACTCAATGAAAAATAGCTACATTCCCATAAGACTAAAAAAAAAAACAACAAACTCATGTGAGTAAACTTAAAACCCATCAAAAATCAAACTAAATAAGTCTTATGAGATGATTAACTATGTTCAACCAGCCCTTGATGATGTGACTGTGAGTAAAAGTTTAAAACCCATCTTTAATCGAACTAAGCAAGTCTTAAAATATGTTTTAATATGTTAACACCATCTCAATGAAAGATATTTCAAGTAACACTGCAACAGCAGACACCAACTCAATCCAAATACAAAAAAGGAGCAAACTTCACATACGTTAAAGGAAATTAAGTGAAGATTGACCTAGGAGAAACAGAGATCGAACCCAATTAAAAGGAACTAGAGATATCCCCTCCTGTATATTAATTCAAAACGTGTTGAGCCTAGGTGGCAAATTCTTACGCTTCGAATGCTGACATGGCGAAAATCTATGTTTCGTAATATTTTTACATTATTTTTGCTCTGGAGTTAAAGTTTGGTATTAGACATAAATAATTTTACACGTATATTCATTAACTCAACACTCCCATATTGTACATGAGTATTAGTATCAAGTTGAAATAGCTGTTCTGATTAAGTTTATTTTTTATTTTTTTTCCTGTTCTTATTAAGTTAATTAATTATTCATGATAAGCTAATTGAATCAGTTTTATGTTATATGCTAAGTGACAAATAGGCCATACAAATCTAACCACAAACTAGCCTCAACTCAACGTCCCTCTTCCAGCCCATTCAAATTTAACACCCTAACGACCCAGCCCATTCAATTTCCACAACGCTACATCTCCCCTAGACTTGTCAAACGGGCCGGGCCGGCCCGGCCGGCGTTGGCCCGCGGTTCAAACGGGCCGGGCCAAATGGCCCGCATTTCTACGGGCTGGGAAATCTATAGCCCGTGGCCCGTCCGCATTAGCCCGCGGGCCAAATTGGCCCGCCCGCGGGTTTTATTTATTTATTTTTTTATGGTATTCGCACTCTTATATATTTTGTGGTTTGTATATCTTTATATTTACTAGTATATTAATAAACTAGTAAGGTTTCATGTGTAATGAATTTGTCATCTAGTTGTTATATTTATTTTTTTCCAATCAATAGTTATAGGGTATTCACGCGCAGAAACGACTTAATTGACATAAAATATTATTTGATTTATTAATATTTTTATTATGTAAAAAAAAATGTTTCATGTGCAAGTTAGAAATTAGAAGAAAAATAAAAAATACTAAATTTAAATAATACAAAATTTAAAAAAAAAACGGCCAGCCCGCCCCAGCCCGCCGGCCAAACGGGGCGGGCCAAATAGGCCCGCGATTGAACGGGCTGACCAAGCAAAGGCTCAAGCCAGTCCGTTTAAGCGGGCGGACGGGCCAGCCCGCGGGCCACTGGCCTGTTCTCCCCCATCAGTGCGCTCCAAGCCCCCTCGTCATTAGCGATAAAAAAACAGATTGGCTGGGCATAAAGAGAACTATGGGGCAAATATGGGATGTAAATGGGTCGGGTTTTGGCAAACCCGAACTCGTCCCATATATAATTTACCCAACCCGAACTTATCTTTGGCTTCGGGTCGAATTTTACCCGATGGGTTAGCGGGTTTTCGTCGAGAAAACGGGTAACTCGAGTTCTTAAATTTGGACTTTACATGATTTCAACCCTACCCAATCGCCTTCACGTAAAAAATAAAATAAAATAATTTTCAGTTAATTATAATGTAACAAACAATTTATTAACTAAGTTTGACTATAAAAAATTACAATACTTTTTGAATAAATACTAAGATATAATATTTATCTTTTATAGTCTAGTTAATAATATAATATTTAAAATTAAGTATTTAAATTTTTTATTGTACAATTACCAAAAATTGATAAAAAAATTCATAAATGATAGAATAAAAGTTTAACTATTAATCAAAATCATAATAAATAATCTAATTTTTAATATTAATAACACATGACTAATATATATATATATATATACTAGTACAACGCCCGTGTATTACACGGGTGCTAGCTAATTTTTTTCTTAAAATCTAAAATTAATGAAAAAAAAGTAGTTGAAAATTTAAATACCTTTTATAAAAATATATATATTATTATATATCTAGTATGATACTTTTTATTTGTGCGACATATTTGTTATATTATAATAATTTTTTTAACTTACAACATATAACTACATTAAACATAAATATATCAATTGAGAAATAATTTTATTTTTCTAATAAATTTTAATAAATGGAATTATTTTTTATTATTATAAAAATAAATATAATGTATTTATTTCATATATACAATATGGATGCCAAATCGACGATCATCAAAAAATGATTAATTTGATATATTATATATGTAAAATCGATATAACAAATAAACAAGTTATCAACTTTAAAATATTTATACAATTCAATAGCTAATTGAAGGAAACAAATCAAAAGTCGGGATATATTAGTCACTTAATGCCTCACTATGTAAAATTACAAAGAATTAAAGGGTTATATTAGTACAAGTGATATTAAAATACCTAAGTTAGCTAAATAATATTTATGGAATGTCCGAACCTAGATTATTATATTAATATATAAATATTATTTGTCCAAACCTAATTACGAAGCATGATTCTTCGTCAAGTAGAATTTCGAAGCACCAAAATCAGCCACGTAGGCTCAGCGCATTCGTGAATTATATATAGGGAGAATATTGCTTGCAGGTAAACTTGTAGAGTAATAGGATCGGGTAACAGGTTTGTCTACTATATTTGAACCCCGATCATCCCGAGACTACTCGCCTGAAAATGTGGGTAACCCGACCCTGCGGTTTTTAGTGACATACCTACCTAAGTTATTTGCAATTCACCTTTGAAAGTCGTGAAGATTTAAAGAAGGTTGCGGTGGGAATGAACTGGGTATTTGAAAACCAATACATGATTTTTCATGAATGAGAGATGATTTAAACGAGAAGCATATGTTATATGAAGAGTTAGGACGCTTGTACAAAAATTCTCAAAAACATTCAAACATTTTTAACTCAACTATTTTTTTTAACTCAACCTCACTATCATCAATATTAATAATATAATAGCATTCAATTTTTCTTACACACCACAACCTTAATTCACTATTCATTAACTCGCATAATTCTAACTAACTATAATTTCATATCATCACTCTCATATTTTACATCAAATAAATTTTAATTATTTAATTTTAAATATAATTTTAATATACTCGCTAACAACCAACTACTATTTTTTATTTTCAAAATTAATCAAATCAAACAAAAAAAATCCAAATAAAAC